GGGTTCAAACAGTCCTGCTGCCTTAGCCTCCCGAGTAGCTGGGACTACAGGCATGTGCCACCATGCCTGGCTAATTTTTTTTTGTATATATTTTTAGTTGGCCAATTAATTTCTTTCTATTTATAGTAGAGATGGGGTCTCGCTCTTGCTCAGGCTGGTTTTGAACTCCTGACCTTGAGCGATCCACCCGCTTCGGCCTCCCAGAGTGCTAGGATTACAGGCGTGAGCCACCATGCCCGGCCCAATGAGCAAATTTTAACTTTGATCTAATTTCCCGATTGTTTTTTGTGGGTTGTGCCTTTGGAGTTTTATCTAAGGAACCATTGCTTTAACTAAGGACACAGATTTTCTCTGATGTTTTCGTCAAGTTTTGTGGTTTTAGGTTTTACAGATAGTCTGTGCTCCTTTTTGAAGTAATTTTTGTGCAATGTGCATGTTGTAGCTCATGGTTTGTATTTCTACATAAGGATACCCAATTACAGGCACACCTCCTTGTGCTTCACAGCTACTCCGTTTTCCGTTTTTTTACAAATTGGAGGTTGGTGCCATGGTATGTGATGTCATTTTTCTAGCAGCATGTGCTCATTTTGTGTCTGTCACATTTTGGTAATTCTTGCAATATTTCAGGCTTCTTTTTATTATATCTATTATGGTGATCAGTGATCCTTGATGTTACTATTGTAATTGTTTTGGGGTGCCACAAACTGCACCCATGTAAGATTGCACACTTAATCCATAAATGTGTGTTTGACTGCTCCACTAACTGGCCATTCTCCCATCTCTGCCTCCCTGAGACAATATTGAAATTAGGCCAATTAATAACCCTGTGATGGGTGGGCATGGTGGCTCACACCTGTACTCCTAGCACTCTGGGAGGCCGAGGCGGGCGGATTGCTCAAGGTCAGGAGTTTGAAACCAGCCTGAGCAAGAGTGAGACCCCGTCTCTAAATAGAAATTAATTGGTCAACTGATATACATAAAAAAAAAAATAGCCGGGCATGGTGGCTCATGCCTGTAGTCCCAGCTACTCGGGAGGCTGAGGCAGGAGGATAGCTTGACCCCAAGAGTTTGAGGTTGCTGTGAGCAAGGCTGACGCCACGGCACTCACTCTAGCCCGGGCAACAGAGCAAGATTCTGTCTCAAAAAATAAAATAACCCTGTGATGGCCTCCAAGTGTTCAAGTGAAAGGAAGAATCATGTCTCTCACTTTAAATCAAAAGCTAGAAATAATTAAGCTTAGTGAGAAAGGCATAGTGAAAGTCAAGCTAGGCTGCTCTTGCTCTGATTTTTCTGGAAGATCCTGTGTATGATCAGTGTTTCTTCCTTAAATGTTTAGTAATTTCACCAGTTGAGCTCCTGCTCACGCACGGACCTGCCAATCTGGAGCAGTCAGCTCTCCCCTCTGAACTCTGAAAGCGTTGAGGGAGGGGTGCCATCTAGCTGAGACAGGCAGGGAGGCCCTGGGCTCTCCCTCCTGACAGGGGCTGTGACCCCCGCAGGTGCTGTCCCTGGACACGAACATCACGAACCAGGTGAACAAGCTCAACCGAGACCTGCTGCGCCTGGTGGACGTGGGCGAGTTCTCCGAGGAGGCCCAGTTCAGAGACCCCTGCCGCTCCTACGTGCTCCCCGAGGTCATCTGCCACAGCTGCCATTTCTGCCGAGACCTGGACCTGTGCAAAGACTCCTCCTACGCTCAGGTGGGGCCCTCGGCTGGCAGAGCCAGAATGTCCGGGCATCCAGGTGGTCAGTTTGGTCCCACAGCTCCTGCTTCCTCACCTGGGAGGTTTCACCTGCTGCCCTTGGACTCTTATGTGGACTCAGAGCAGGCACCCACTCAGGCCACTCCACCCCACGTCCCAGGTGTGGTGCAGGCAGAGGCCAGGGCCGTGGCCTAGTGACCTCTCACTCCTCTTGCTCTGCCTAGGACGGGGCCGTCTTGCCTCAGTGGCTCTGCTCCAACTGTCAGGCACCCTACGACTCCTCTGCCATCGAGCTGGCCCTGGTGGAAGCCCTGCAGAAGAAGCTGATGGCCTTCACCCTGCAGGACCTGGTGAGCAGCAGGGCATCTGTGCTCTAGGGACAGCGGGTGTGCGTAGGTCCAATTCCTGCCCGGCATCCCCTGGGGGTACGGTCTCCCATACCACAAGTCCCGTCAGGCACCTGCCGTGGCCTGGACGCTGGCTCTGTGGGAGTCCACGCCAGTGAAGGGACACGGGTGGTCAGTACGGCAGGTGTGAGGAACCAAAGGGGGCCGTAGGAAGGTCTCGCTGAGGAGAGGCTGTGCCTCAGTGCCCTGTGGCCGTCATGGGACAGCAACCCCCGCCCAAGCCTGGCGCGACGGATGCAGCACGTGCAGGGCCTGGGGTGGGATGTCCACGTGAGGAGGGCGTGTTGGCAGGGCTTGGGCGAAGTCATGAGTTTTGTAGCAACTGAGGACCAACAGGCACACAGCAGGAACTTTGGCCTCCTCTCAGCAAGGCGGTGAGGAGGTGGTGGACAGGTCTGGCGGGCGGGTGGACAGGCGCCGACAGGGCTGCTCCCTTTTCAGGTCTGCCTGAAGTGCCGGGGCGTGAAGGAGACCAACATGCCCGTGCACTGCGGCTGCGCAGGGGACTTCGCCCTCACCATCCACACCCAGGTGCGCCCTCCCGTGGGGTGGTCAGCCTCAGCCCTGTCTTGCCACCTCGACCTCCTCTGGGTGGGACGGGTCTCACCGCGCGTTCGTTCCTGCAGGTCTTCATGGAGCAGATTAGGATCTTCCGGAACATCGCCCGGCACTACGGCATGTCCTACCTCCAGGAGACCCTGGAGTGGCTGCTGCAGAAGAACCCTCAGCTGGGCCGGTAGCCAGCCCCGGGCCCTCGGGACACCAGACGTCCACGCCAGGCATTCTCTGCCCAAGAAGCCGTGTCCCTGTGCTCCCAGCAACCAGGCTGCAAGCCATCCCGACTCCTCAAACTCGGGACCACAGCACGGGGAGCTCATGAGGGGGAACTGGCCCCGTCCTCAACAGAGCCGCCTGCTGGCGCCAGTCTCGAGCCGAGAAGCGTCTTGAGGGTCGTGAGGGGTCGCTCAATAAACGTTTCCAAGCCTCTATTGCTTTCTGCACACCACCAGGTGGGGTGGGGCGGGGCGAGACTGTCCTCCCAGTTCTTTCTCCTGACCCCAGGGTCCCCCAAGGGTCTCCTGAGTCCATGGCCCTTTCCAGACCCTGTGCCTGTGGGGACCTGGACTGGTCTGTGGACCCTTCTCCTTTAGAGCAGGCTCCAGAGGGGCGGCCTGTGCCACGTTTAGCCACACGTGGCCTCGTCCTTCACTTCCTGGCACAGGACTGGTCGGAAGCAGGAAGAAAAGAGGCAGCAAACAGTATGAAATGCGGGTCCACAAGCTTGAGACCCGGATGACGTAGCCTCACAGGAAGGTGGGACCTCCCCACCCGGGCTCCCCAGGTTCGAGTCACTGGGCTTGAGCTGACCTTAACTCTGTCCTTGCTGGCTAGATACCTGTATCAGCTGCACTTTTGGTTGTTACTTAAAGTTCTCTAGTCATCACTGTATCGGCGCCAGGCGCCCCTGCCTCTGGAAGGGAGACCGGGTGCCACTGGGCCTGTGTTTGGCCCCCAGGTGCCGTTCAGGCCGTCTGCCCGGAGAAACCTGATGCCCACTCGGATGGATGGAGCTCTGCAGTCTCCAGAGTGGAGATCAAATCAAATTAGGGCAAGTTGGGCGGGAGGGGATCTAGCTAGCCGGGCTTCATTCCGGGAAGCGAAGCCAGAGAAGACCCAGGGGAGAGGAGACCAGGCAGCTGGGGACAGCCCCTCGTCCAGCAGCAAGGCCACCCACAGCAGGACCTGGGGTTGCTCGGCGTGGCCCTGGCGCCAGCCTGGGGGTCGGGGCATTTGAGGGGGCAGAGGGCACGGAGAGAGAAACCCAAGCCCCTGGCCTGGTTCCTGAGCACCAGCCTGGGACCCAACTGGAAAAGCCAGTTTCTCTAAAACTAAAGCCGGGCCTCTTCTGAACCCCACACTGAGGGGTCCACCTCAGGGGCCCACGAGGTGGGGTCCCACGCCCCAGGGTGGGGGTTCCGAGTGTGTGCTGCTAAAGTGGATGGAAGTAGGACCTAGCTCCACGCTACCTGTAAGCATAGTTCCAAATTCAGGCTTTTGGGGGGTCTGAGTCTCCCCTTCTCTGCCCTCTGGCTGTTGCTGCCCTGGAGGAGCTTGGTTTCCCATCTGTGTGGTGGGCCGTCACCTGCTGCAGTCACGGCTGAGGTCTGTGCAGCTCAGCACAGCCCCAGACCCGCTCCCTCGCCATGGAGCCAAGTCCCAGGCTCCTGCGGCAGGGCCCACAGCGCCTGGCTGACATCCGAGGACGTGGTAACCAGATTACCCGCGGCCCTGATCCAGTTAGCGTCTCTCCCTCCCCTGCTTACCCTGCCCAGCCCCATGGAGTGTGGACGGGCATTTTGACCTCGGGCCTGCAGAATCTGAGCCTCCATGTTCCTCGGGTGTGACCTTCACAGCCTTCCTCCTCAGAGCCACACCATCCTCCCGAGTTTTCAGAGGAAGGCAGCACAGGTGTGGGGCCCAGGGCAACCCAGCAGGGAGCTGGCAAGTGAGGGGCCCAGGCAGGGATGCTTCCTACGGTCCTGGGCACTCAGCTGTGTCCCTGTCCCCTGGGCAGGCAGACGTGTGCCCTGCACACTCGGCACCCAGGCGGGGGACAGGCATCCCGTGTCGTATTCGTGGGCTCAGATGCTTCTCCCCAAGGACCAAGTCCAGAAGGTTCTGATCACGGGTTTATTGGATGCTGAGCATGTCATGACATCTAAGGGAAGGGTCCGGGCAGAATTTGAGGTTACAAGGTTCAAGGTAGGGGCTGGCTTCCCCACAGCCCCAAAAGTAGGGGCAGAGAGGTGATGGAGTAGGGAGCCCTGTGCCTGATTGGTGGGGTGGGGGACACGCCTCTCCCTGCAGACCCCAGGAGGCTTGGGGGAAGGGTGGCAGCCTCTGGTTCCCAGTCTCATGGAGACGCTGGGCTGCTGCGGTGCCGATGCAGGGTCCCCAGTGGGGCAGCCAGGCCATCAGGGGCCTTGTCTATGGGCCCAGGTCTGCAGCGCGGCATGATGGGGAGGACGGAAGGCTCAGAGTTGGGCTAAACCTTTGGGGTCCGGGGGCATGGAGTCCTGGCGGGGAAGCTCGGAGGCAGGAAGGCTTTGTCCTGTACTCTGTCCAAGAGTATCCGCCATCTGCTCAGGTGGGGCAGAGATGGGGCAAGGCGGCGGGCACAGGACAGCCGGGCCTACCTCTCCCCCTTGTCCCGAGTGCGGCCCTCCTGGGTGGATGGGGCCGGGCGGCCGGTCCACGGAGCAGTGACCAGGTTGGGGAGGGGCCTGGCCCAAAACAAGGGCCAGGGTCACAGGCCAGCTACCTGAGGGACGCCGCGGCTTACACACCTTGTCAAATTTCTTATGGCTGTAGACCTTGTTTTTGTTCATGAATGTTAGCAAGATCCAGTCACACAGGAAGGAGCCCTGGGACCAGCAGAGAGCATGCGTAAGGGCCGGGCAGACACCCCCCTCCCCACTGGGTCCCCAGGTGGGCTCCTTACCACCCCGATGGAGGTGAGAGCTGTGGCCAGATTGATGATGGTGGGAATCAGGCTGAACTTCCCGGCCTGGGGAGAACAGGCATATCTAGATGGGGCCACCAGGGGCTCAAGGGAGGGGAGGGGCGGGGCTAAGCCAGCTCAGTCATGGCTGGAGCTCCTGCTTTCAGGAGGCAGGGACGCCAGGGGTCAAGCACCCACCCCCGTGCGCTGTGCTCACCTGTCCGTGCACGATGACGTCAATGCGGATGCCGTAGGCTTTGATGAGCGTGCGGGTCGTGGTGCCATTTGTCTTGTAATACTTGGCAAACCTAGAGTGGGTGAGCCGGAAGCAGATGCTGACCCGTGGAGGTTGGGGGGGCGGTGCCTGTTCTAGGGCAGTTCCGGGGGAGGCTCGGGCTTCTTGGGTCCCACCCCGTCTGCTCTGCGGAGCTGACATAGCCCGGGATCAGCTACGTCCTGAGGACGAGCGTACCTGAAGTTGTAGCCCGAGGAGGCAGGGACGTGTTTGGGGTCGAGCCTCCGGAAGGAGTACTTGGGGTTGCACGCGGCTGCAGCCAGGTCCAAGTCACAGTCCCAGTTGATGATGACACCTATGACACCACCCTGCCAGGGTGAGGGAGCTGGTGAAGGTGCCAGTGGCAGCCGCGTGGCCAGGTGTCAATAATTCAGCAGGTGCACACACCGAGTCTTGCAGATTGTGTTTCTCTCCTCCGGCCAGGACTGCAGAGGGACTCGTGGCTGTGATAGGGACCCCCCCCCCGCTCCCCCCGCAGGCAGAGCCGCCCACCCATGCTCACCTTATGCGCGAGCTCCGTGAAGTTCTCCCCCGCCTGCTCCACGATGAAGCCCAGCCTGAAGATGGGGCAGTAGGGATCTAAGCCCTCGTCGAAGGAGCAGTGCTTCAGGTACCCGTCCTTGCGGTCTGCAATGTTTCCCCTGGGAAGGGCAGAGGGCAGAGCCTGGCACCCCAGCAGCTCCCCCGGGCAGGCAGCTCCCCCCAGCAGGCAGCCCCTGGCCATGTTGGCACCACACCCACCGGCTCTTACTTGGAGAAGCGGAACTTGGGGTAGTGGATGCTGTTCTTGATGAGGATGGTGAAGTTGGGGGCCATCTTACCCAGAAATTGGCTGAGGAGGCAGAGGCAGGGATGGTTCAGGCCCCTCCAGCAGGAACCTCCCTACTTCCCCGGCCCCAGAGTCACCCCACCCCAGTGCAGAGACAGTGGCCGCAGAGCCTCTGGGTGGCAGCTGAGGCCGCAGGTGGGTGGGTCACCGACTGCCCCCACCTGACGGAGGCTCCATCTTCCACGGGGCACCAGCCGGACACCTCACAGGTCTTGGAGGTGCCCTGGTAGTAGGGCACGCAGCGCCCGGTCCGCAGCCCTGCGGGGCAGACACAGCAGAGCTGGCGGGGGGCCGTCGCTGACCATCCCCCAGGCCCTCCCCCCACGCCGGGCACACTGACCATTCCCCAGCATGTCCAGTTCCCCAGCCACGCAGTCCTCATCCGAGTGGCAGGTGGCGTTGGGGACCCTCATGCTCTAGGGCGGAGACGCCAGTCAGGGTCCGGCAGGGACTCGGAGCCCCCCAGCCCCCCGCCCCTGGACCCGGCCTCACCTCCGGGCAGGTTCCCAGGGCCTGGGAAGGGGTGACCTCGATCCTGGTGATGATGCTGAACACGCTGCCCCCCTGGGCTCAGAAAGAGGCGTCGGTGCACGCAGCTCCCACCCCCTCCGCCCGGGATGTGCCCGCAGGGCAGGGCCGCGTACCTCGGGGGGCTTGCGACGTATCTCCTCCACGCTCCACACTTTGTGCTTCGACGTGGTCCCCCTTGACCTTGGTGAAGACGGAGCTTTCGGGGCCCGTCTCGCTTCCTGAAGCTCTTCTGCACGATGACACGTACTCTGCGGGGCGAGGAGGCGGCGCGGCTCGGAGGCGACCGGGAAGGTTGGGAGCCAGGACCGGCCCCTCCCCGCTGCGCACTCGCTCCAGGACCTCGGGCGGCCGGCGCTCCCGCAACCCGCACCCCCGCGCCACGACCCGCACCCCGACCGCAACACCGAAGTAGAGCAAGATGAAGCAGCTGCAGGCGCAGCTACCGACGCCCAGGCGCCGGTTCCTCCACACGATCGACCTTTTGGGGCGTCCTCGTAGTGCAGAAGCGGACAGCAGCCGGGCCAGGCGCGCGGGCCAGCCGCCGCGCGAGGGGCTTGGCTGGCAGCGGCCATCGGCGCATCCCGGGGCGCCGAACGCGGCTGCTGGCGAGGGCACGGGCCGGGGGTGGGGGACCGCGGGCTCCCGGGGCGTGGCTGCTTCCGCCCTCCAGCTGGCAGCCGGTGACTGGCAGGCTGTCCCAGAGGCTTCGGGGGGAGCCGGGGCGCCCAAGGTGGGACCGCGCTCGCAGGCCAGAGAAGAGCCCGGAGTTTGGGAACTCTGCGAGAACAGGAGCAACCACAGCGCGCCAGGTCCTGGATCACCACTCCTCCCAGCTCGGGACACAAGATCGGTCCCTGTCCTGTCCCCCTGGATGGGCTGCTTTCTGCTCCTGAGCTCAGTACGAAGGAAGGAATGATGCTTAAGCCAGTGTCCAGAAGAGGAACAGAACCAAAATCAAGGAGAAAATGCCCCCCGCCTACGCCAAGTCTCCCTGTATTGTGTTTCAGCTGCGACTTTTGTGCTCAGCCAGACAAGCAGCGCCCGGGCGTTCAAGCTGAACACTGCGCCTTCATCTCCCCTTGACTCCGTCTTTCCATCCATCCTTTCTGCTAGCCCAGCCACACCTGTCCCGTTTTTGTAGTTTGAAATGAGACACCTAGAGATGGGGGTGAGCATGGGAGGAGAAGATGGTCGGCCTTTCACCATCGTCTCTTCATATGGCGCTGGGGAGGATAATTGGCGGATCCATCCTGGAGACGAGACAAGTAACGAATATTTTGGGTGGCGTCCTGGGAACGCACCATGTTGTGTTAGATAAGCTGGCAACACCCGCAGGAGGCTTAGAGGATGGATAACACTCTGACTCTGTGACATTAATCAATCTGTTCCATTTCTCTGCCGGGACCGTGGAGGCAGCAATACCCCTCCTCCCGTCCATGCAGAGTCACCGGTGGACAGAGGGATCTTCGAGTCCCCATGTTATGTCTTAAACCTGCCTGTGTTTAAGCCCCGAGTCCAGGCCAGGTGTGGTGGCTCACGCCTGTAATCCTAGCAACTCTGGGAGGCCTAGGTGGACAGATCGCTCAAGGTCAGGAGTTCAAGACCAGCCTGAACAAGAGCGAGATCCCCATCTCTACCAAAAATAGAAAAATTACTTGGCCAACTAAAAATATATAGAAATATTAGAAATATGTAGGAAAAAAAAATCAAGCCAGCGTGGGCCATGCCTGTAGTCCCAGCTACTCGGAGGCCGAGGCAGGAGGATCACTTGAGCCCTACGAGTTTGAGGTTGCTGTGAGCTAGGCTGATGCCACAGCACTCTAGCCCAGGCAATAGAGTAAGACTCTTGTCTCAAAAAAAAAAAAAAAAAAAAAAAAAAAGAAAGAAAGAAAAGAAAACATGGCGGGCCAGTGGCTCACGCCTGTAATCCTAGCACATCTGGGGCCAAGCCGGGTGATTGCTCAAGGTCAGGAGTCTGAAACCAGCCTGAGCAAGAGCGAGACCCTGTCTCTACATAATAGAAGATAATTTGCCAATTAACATATATAGAAAATTAGCCGGCATGGTGGACAGCTACGTGTAGTCCAGCTACTCAGGAAGGCTTGAGGCAAGAGGATCGCTTGAGCCCAGGAGTTTGAGGTTGTTGTGAGCCAGGCTGACACCACGGCACTTACTCTAGCCCGGGCAACAAAATGAGACTGTCTCCAAAAAAGAAAAGGAGAAAGACATGAGTCCAGTAACAGTGGCTGTGCTGCCTGGAGAAACACAAAAAAGAGAACGGCTACAACGCAGCCCCAGGGTACTGACTGCTGCTACAGTCGGGCAACAATAGCCAAACACGCCAGGAAAGCGTTCCCCGGGGTAGGAGGAGCGCCCAGTTGTGTCATCACAGCAGAGGCCTGTGTCTCCAGTTGTCTCAACATACCCCACGTGAGCCGGGGCACCGTCACGGTGTCACACGTCTGTCCCGGCAGGACCCCCATCGGCAATGGCCGGCAGAGCGAGCTTTCATTTGTGAAATCCGGCTCACCATGTGGGCAAACGCGTCTGGAAGGGACCCACTCATGACCTGTAGAAGTTTGAACACACACACACACATACTGCAAGGGCCGTCCCAAGTTCCTGGGGAGTCCCATTGCCGCACCCACACCTTCTGTCGGGGCTCTGGCTGGGATCCCAAAAGGGAGGTGTAAAGATGAAGGATCTCGGGGGAGGACACAGTAAAAAAATTAAGACACTAGAGTGCTCTTGCTAATCTTTGTTGTGGAGGGGCAGGGTACTCCCCCTTTTGTTTTTCCAGAATATTTTTTAGGATTCACAGTTGGTCCACTCAACAACTGCCTGTTGTAGGGAGGGAGAACCTTGGCTTGATCTTTTCTGCCAAAGCGTCGGGAAGTCGCACACCTCACCGTGCCTGACTATAATAAACATTTACTACACTAGGAGCCCCCTCCCTTCTCTGCCTTTGTGTCTTAGCACCACCGCTTAGCCAGTCTGGTAAGAACAAGATTGTGCAGTCGAAATAGGGCCGATAGGGTGAGACACAGCCACAGGTCTGCCTTAGAAATGACACGCGGTATCGTTTACCCCTCACAATTTGGGGGCTCGTCCTAGATCGCCCATTCATTCCCTTTGGAAGGAGGGCTTGGTCCCTGCTCCTGGGGGGGAGACGTCCTGCTACCTCATTGTGGCAGCTCTTGGGATCGGGGCAGTCCAGACTCCCAGAGCCTTCTCCCCCTGGGGACCCCCTTCTCTACCCCCACCTTACAAACCCACCTGATGAAAATTCTCAGGATGGTGGGCTTTTGTCTGACCCCCCTGGAGAGAGGAGCCAAGGAAGTGAGAACAGAGGAAGCAGATCCTGAACCACTGCAAGGGCCTCAGCTCCCACCCCAACCCTATGCCCTTCGCTCCCTAATTTAAGGAAAGTGGCCGGGCGTGGTGGCTCACGCCTGTAATCCTAGCACTCTGGGAGGCTGAAGCAGGAGGATCATTTGAGCTCAAGAGTTCGAGACCAGCCTGAGCGAGAGTGAGACCCCATCTCTACTAAAAATACAAAAAAATTAGCTGGACAACTATATAGAAAGAATAAGCCAGGCATGGTGGTGTGTACCTGTAGTCCCAGCTACTCGGGAGGCTGAGGCAGGAGGATTGCTTGAGCCCAGGAGTTTGAGGTTGCTGTGAGCTAGGCTGACGCCACGGCACTCACTCTAGCCTGGGCAACAGAGTGAGACTGTCTCAAAAAAATAAAAAGAGAAAAGAACGATGTAAGCAGGATATCCAAAACTTTCCCTTTCCTTCCGTGGTGAAAAATCCCAGGCTTTGTACCCACTTCGGGAACTTCCCCTAGGAGGTGGGGAAACTGTGTGTTAATGCTCCCCTTCCTAGTTCAGAAGTCAGGAAAGTAAAGAGCTAAAACCTCTGTTAGAAGACCTGCATGGGGTTGCAGATCAGCTGGATCAATTTCTAGGCCCCCAGATGGACGCATGGGCCGAGCTCGTGTCGATCCTGAGTGTTCTGTTTTCTGGAGAACAGAAGGGGGAGGATTAGGAGACAGCAATGGCCAAGTGGGAGCATGAGCACCCGGCAGGCCCCATGAGGTGTCCACAGAGGAGAAATGTCCACATCAGGAGCCCCAGTGGGACAATAATGATGAAGTCTGTAGAAACACGAGAGATCTTAGAAATTTGATTATAAAAGGGATAAGGGAAGCAGTTCATGTTCTCAAATCATGGGAAGGGCATTCGATATTCAACAAGGGTGGGAGGGGCTGGGCGCGTAGCTCACGCCTGTCATCCTGGCACTCTGGGAGGCCGAGGTAGGCGGATTGCTCAAGGTCAGGAGTTCGAAACCAGCCTGAGCAAGAGCGAGACCCCGTAATTAATTGGCCAACTAATATATATAGAAAAAAAAATTAGCCGGACGTGGTGGCACATGCCTGTAGTCCCAGCTACTTGGGAGGCTGAGGCAGCAGGATTGCTTGAGCCCAGGAGTTTGAGGTTGCTGTGAGCTAGGCTGACGCCATGGCACTCATTCTACCTGGGAAACAAAGCGAGATTCTGTCTAAAACACACACACACACACGGAAGGAAGGACTATGGGAAGTTTTAACAAGGTTAAAGGAACAGATGAGAAGTACTCGTGATTTTTTTTTTTTTGAGGCCGAGGCTTACAGGCGTGAGCCACTGTGCCCAGCCAGTACTAGGGATTGAATGTTGGTGCCCCCTTAGTTCAAAGGATGTTAAGGCTACATTTTGTGACCAATATTGGCCTGATATTGCTAAGAAGCTGCAAAAACTAGAGGGTTGGCGGGATAGGAAGTTAAAGGACCTACTCAGAGGCACCGAAAGCATATGTGAGACAAGACCAAAGCAGAAACAGAAAGTAATGATTATGCTCTCGGTCGTAGAAAAAGCCACCTGAGGTAATAAGGCCCCTAGAAATCATAGACCCAAGGTGCCCCACATACAATGTTTCCAGGGAAGACAAGGAAAAGGGCAGCCCAGGAAAAGGGGAGAGGGTATGCTGGGCGCAGTGGCTCATGCCTGTAATCCTAACACTCTGGGAGGCCAAGGCGGGAGGATCGCTCAGGTCGGAGGTTAGAACCCAGCCTGAGCAAGACAAGACCCGTCTCTACTAAAAAAAAAAAAAAAACAAACAAAAAATAATAAAGTTGGCCAACTAAATAATATAGAAACAATTAGCCCAGGATGGTGGCGCTGGCCTGTCATGTCCCAGCATCAGGGCCCCCTGAAGGGGCCAGGAAGGAATTTGCTTTTGAGACCCCCAGATTTGGAGGTTTTTTTGCGTGACTAGGCCTGGATCACCACCCACTTTCTAAAGCCCCTCTTGTCTCCAGAAAGACCCACACACAAAACAAGAAGAAGGGAGGGGAAAAGGGGAGAACAGAAAAAGAGAAGGAGACAGAACAACCAGAGAAGGGGGGGAAACGAAACCACCAGAGAAGAGAGGGGAGGGAGACAAGAAAACCCCAAGAAGGGAGGGAAGGGAAAAGACAGACAGAGAGGGGGAGGAAGGGAGGGGGAGGCAGAAAACAGAAGAGAAGGGAAGACCCAGGAACCAAAAGAAGGGAAGAAGGGAGACAACCCACCAAAAGAGAGAGGAGGAAGCAGACCCCAAGACCAAAGAGAAGGAGGGAAGGGGAGGGAGGAGGGAAGAACCATACCAGAGAGAAGGGAGGGAAGGCAGACCCAAGAAGAGGGGGAAGGGAGGAGGGCAGACAGAGAAGAAAGGAAGAAAACAGACAGAAGAAGGAAAATGAAAGGGAGGACCCAGACCCAGACAGAACCCAAGGGAAGGGAGGGGGAAGGAGAAAGGAAGGAACATTGGGAAAGTCTCTCCAGACAGAATACA